CTTATAGATATTTTGTCATATCGTTCGAAAAATTAGAAGTTATCTTCTATCAAAAGAAAGCCACTTACTGCTTCGATCTCCTCGTGAGTCACTGAATACTTAGAGGCACAGCCCCAATTGTACGGAGCCTCAGGGTCATCTTCCCCAGTGTCACCAGAAAGATGATCAAGAGGGTCTGCATCCCAGGGATAGACTGGTGGGTCCCAACGTGTCTGTCGCGTTCGAACGTGATAATAGTAGTAGGCATACATATCGGAACTTTTGACCTCCTCTCCAGTGCCCCCGTCGGATCCGTCTTTAGTTGTGTGATTTGCCTGCCGTTTGATATTGGGGGCGCGCTGCCAACCAGGAGGAAGTGGACTAGTACCATCTTTGGAGAGATGCAGATGTAGAGCCGGAAGAGGTTGGCGTTCAGCTGGCTCAACACGTTTACGCTGCTGACGTAATTGAGCATATCGTGCCTGAAGCCAACGACGAGAAAACGAAATTAAGGAAGAAGCAAATGAACATGAAGTTTTTCAACGCAACAATCAAACTGGTGCAATTCAATGTTAATGGTCAAGCCCACAAAAAGGAAGAATCGACTGAATGCAAGAGTTATGAATAGCAATTACACATGTATTTATGGCTAAAAGATGTAGCCATTCGATTAAAGTAAAACCGCAAGACACAAGACCTTGAATTAGTTTTTAATCCGGTATTATTTCTCTGATTATAAGCAACGCGTTAAGCATAACATTGATGGACACATGTAGACAAGCGCATGCCAGACATATTCACACCGTTTTTTTCGTCACAATAACCTCAAGTGCATTACCGGGTAACTTTGAATGGACAGCTCTTTCAGAGTCAGTCCATTGAAGAATCAATACTATGGGCTGTCCTTCCAGAATAACCAGGCGATACGAGATTATTGAGACGAAAATACACTTCCCGGGTACAAGTAATGAATGTAACAAAAGATTGCCGGATAAGCGTGCCTGAAAAGCGACAAGAACCGCGAGACCGATCGTGTGCTTTCAAGGAAATTTCGCGGAGTCATTCATATAATATTTATTATAGCCACGTTGTAACCCAAACCATTTATAAAAACTCTCCAATTACTTGGATCTTCAGCCAGCTTGTCAGTTTGGAGTGCATCAAACCCGTTAGCCTTCAATGGGGACATTGTCAGTTCCGACAGCACAAATACTACAACGTTGAAAAGAAATAGAGGGCAACCCTGACGAACACCGTCCCAGAATATAACTTGCTAGCAGCCGTAAATACATGGTAGGTTCTCGTGACTATAGCTTTCATTTCAACCGCTATTCAGCGCACTAAGGAAAACTCATCCCGTGGTAACGATCTCTTTGTTTAGTCTCAACTTTTCTCCATTGGCTGTCTAGATCGATGACCTAAAACACAGTCACTAACATCACAAAACAAAACTGCAGGGTTGGCGTACGCAAAAATTGCACTTACTGCGAGCAGTAACTATCAAGAAATCACCAGTTTTACATTTTTACAAACAAACAGTATAATGAAAAAGGAAAAGTATGAAAGTTAGTTAGTCGGTCTCACCTTAGCAGCTTGAGTCAGTTCCATTCCGCCGGAATGAGCGCTCACAGATGAAGTGTGCGCGGAGGAGGCCGGTCTGTATTCATACAGATGGGATGAACGAAGATGCGAAGAAAAGAAACCAGAAGCAACGCAATGAGACTTCTCCAAAAAGATATAATCCATAGTATACTTAAACAGAGAAACAAATAACAAAAATGGATAAAAAGAGGGAAAAACAAAAATGGTGCTGTTCGATTGTCCAACTACTCATGAGTAGTGTAGCGATAAATGGAGGGTTGTTATGAAAGACGCAGCAGATGGACGGCGGTATAAATCACGACTTCAGCAGAAGCTGGTCCCCAAGATATATATTTCCCGAAAAGCCAGAGTGAAAAATAAGTATTTCAAAATTTCGATTAAGCATCACATATCCACTTATTTTCATGCAAGATATTAACAAGTAGATACAGTCAAAAATCCTCGACAATTGATCTTTTAGTAACTCTTATCTGGACACTACATCGTAAACGGTGACTCCTGTATCTTACATCAGTCATTGGACTGGATGGTGTGCACCGTCTTGGTTGGCTCTGGAATGTGACAACTCACCTATGTTGGTTTATCTAAGATTGGGTATCCCGGAACAAGGAAGATTAACAGAAGTACTCCGATTCCCTAACATCACCCCAACCTCGGACTGTAGCCCAGAGCACATTGATAGCCGTGAACTTATCTGGAACAGCGTTGGAGGCCTTGTTTAACTCGCTGACCTCCCGTTATGTTTATAGGGGTATTTGGGAGTTCTCGATGGAGTTGGTACGCGAGGTTCTCAGAAGTTCTAATGTGTCCATAAGCAGATCAAGTGACAGTGACACCTATCTGCTGTGGATTTGTGTATTCCGAGCTCCGTAGATGGTCCGTTTGGGGAACCCAGATGATTGTACCAACTTCGACCTCCAACACCAGACCAAGCAGTTATGGCAATTTTTTATCTTTTGTTTTACTTTTTCATTAAATATATGATGATACAACTTTCAGGAAGGGAGAATCGATCAATCGAAGCACTGCCACAAAACACAGAATGGGGAATTCCACCAAGTGCCCACTTGCTACGATTGTACTAATAATAATCAACCATAAATGTTTGTCAGATGGAACACAGGATTTGTTGCTCCATGATCCCTGTTGAGCTACTCTTACTGCCCTTTCTTGTTGCTCTTTAACACCGGATGTTGTCGGTCGAATGATGTTCAAAGGCGTAGGGGTTTCTCTTATCATTAGAGCCTCAGGATGATTGGGGACGGATGTGATTGGTTACCCGTCCCTGGCATCTCAAGAAATATTCCCATACGACCAAACGTCTCAAATAACCCTCGATGAGGAAGCCCCATGGTGATAGGATGAAAAACAAACATTCAGTGCTATAACCAGGTCTATGAACCTATTAGAGTTCACCCAAGGGGTTTGGCCAAAAACCCTGACTCAAAACCAAACAAGAAAGGGCGTACGAACCACATACACATCTTTCTAGTTGTGGCAGTGGTCACCACCTTGAACGGATGTCGAGATGCATTAGGCATCCGGATATTAGATACCGTACAAAGCTCGTATGATTCGATGAAATGGACCCCGGTCACCAACAGATTGTGGTTTTCACACACAGGCCAGATACCTTGCGGATCAGGCTTTGGTTGTGAATCCCAAAGAAAATTCGCTTGCGCTGACCTGGGCAATCTGGCAGTAATCAACACGAGGAGAAAACTATGGACCAATTTCTCTGTTATTATACCGTGATTTGTTTGGCACACAGCCATGACTCAGACGTGTGTGAGACATAAAAAGCAGCATCAGATCTGCCACCAGAGACAGTTTGGATAGTTCGGCTAAAGGGCACGCTCGGTAAAACAGAAAAGCCATTTCATTTTCTTTTCTAGTACCTGTCTGAAGATATTCACAAACAATTTGGTCTGTCCCTTTCATAGCGGATGATATAGATGAATAGGTTTATGCTGCATGTTGGTGTGATTGCAGAACACTGCGGAGACGGGTGTCGTAATTCATCTCCCGTTGTCGCCCAACAGCATCTACGGATATCCAGATCTGAATAGTTTTCGGGAGAGAAAAGTGCGTCTGCTTGCTCGACTTTTGCAGTGTACAGGTGCTTGCATGAGAGGAGTGTGGTTACCCAACGATGCAGTTTGTTCGTCGACTTCACTAAGATACCATTCACTGACCCTAACGCTGTGTGGGTCATAGGTAGCGTGAAATTACGGCCATACAGCAAATTGTGAAATTTGATAAATGCAAACATGACAGTCAACATCCACTCAATAAGTCTCTAGTTTTATTCCGCAACGCGAGAAATCTCGTGGCTTGCGAGATGGCCTTCTTTGAAGTATTCGGAAAAGAGATTACTGTACCAATTAGGGGCATTTAACGCGAAAGATTGGAATGTGCCTAGCAAGTTCGAACTCAATATCACATTAATGCCATCAACTACTGTTTGACATTCAGGTGGCTGTGTTCAGTGGACTACTTCCTTTGGAAACGTGTTCACGAGTTGATGAAATCAGGGCGCATCTAGCAAGAATCATGGGTAGAAGCACAGCGGGTCGAAGAATAATCTCGAAGAAACTCTTGCTGGGTTAATCTACAACATTGCGCGAACACTACTCTAATCGGAAAGGCGGCCGCACCTGGCTATAACGAACCAATACCGCTACAGTGATTAGATAGCAGAAAGCCGTTTAGATGTAAGCCTACTATGCAAGACGGAATACGAAGGCCGAATATGATCAATGTATGTTACATCAGGTCCAAAAGTGGACTGGTTATCACTCGCGGGCTGACTGAATGTGACAAACAATCGGTAAAGTGCATAGCCAGCTAGAAGCGATAAGACAGTATTGATTAAACAAATTATTGTGGTCTTCACGATAGGATCGTTTTCTTTCTTGTAAACGGGTTATATTCTCCACAGAAATCATCGAGCACTCCTGTTTAGCAATAGGACCAAAGCTATAAAAGCCTCCCGAAGCCTAGGTATAGTCAGGGGTGGATGTCTAGGAATGCGGTTGGTCACCATTCCTTTGCACCTCGAGAAATGTTCCGGTAAGACCAAGCGTCTCGAATAGCCGCTGCTGAGGAAGCCCCGCTCACTGCCTTCTCGTGGAGGTGTTTTCCCACCAAAGTGAGAGAACAAAAGCTGACATCCGGGGCTATAACCGAGTTGGTGGACCACTGGTAGTTCACCTAGGGGATTTGGCTAAAAACCCTGATTCCAAACCAACCATGAGGAGGCGTACGAACCACACACACGAATTCCTGGTTGTGGCAGTGGCCACCGGCTCGATTGGGCATCCAGGTGTATTGCGTACCTTGGACGCTTGACCCCGTCCAAAGGGCGTATGATCCGAACTGGACACCAGCCATCAATGGATTGCGGTTTTCGCACACCGTCCCGCTGCCTTGCGGGTCAGGCTTTGGCTAGAGGGAGGCTCCGGTTGTGGGTTCCTCGAGATAATTCACCTGCCTTTGCCTGGGCAACCTGGCAGTATTCAGCTCACATGCAAATCATGGAGCGTTTTCCTTCTCCATGAAGATTATTGTATCATGATTTGTTTGGCATAGTCTGGATTCAGACGTGTGAAAATATAATATACATGTTAGGGACGAATGGCCATGCGTTAAATCCGATCAAGAAGAGAAAGAGAGAAGGATGAAGCTCCACCCCGCATATGACTGCGGAATTCAAGAGTAGGACGAATTTGAGCTTTGTAAAGCGAGAGATGGTAAATGGGGGGGAGTAAAGAGACGTCTGGCACGGAAGAGGAAACCGATTTAGCGCGGGAGACAAGTAGANCAACCTGGCAGTATTCAGCTCACATGCAAATCATGGAGCGTTTTCCTTCTCCATGAAGATTATTGTACCATGATTTGTTTGACACAGTCTGGCTTCAGACGTGTGTAAAATATATAAATATACTATGCAAATATGGAGATACTCGATTGTTTAGAGGACTGCAAACGGTTCCTAAGATATAGGCTACGGTGTAAGTACTCTCCTTGTAGGGGGACCAGCAGTTATTCTGTTTTCGAAAGCAGGTCGAGCAACGATCGCACAAACCGCGGGAGTGTAAGCTCGACCTCTGCAGCGCTTAAGCTTCTAACGTCCTTCCTGCTTCAGAGATTAATTAATGTGTGAAGAGATAACTCGATAGAAACACCTTAGACTTCACAACGGTTATGAATATACCGATCGAATGCTCCCTTTTCCACTGAGCATCGTCAGGCGTTCCAATGACTATTGCAGTGTTTTTGACCTCCAAACAGCTTCCGAATCCATTGACAGGTTTGCGCCATACAACTGCTCGCTGAGGAAAGAAGCATGCATGATTCTCATGGAAGGGATCTGGCT